TTTTTGTTTTCTACTGTATACAGTTAACTCTTAAGTGCATTACTGTTGACATTTTGAGTGTTAAGTTCTGTATTATTGCTACAAATCCTTTTTATGAGCCAACTTTTTTCCTTTTTATTCATAGTTGCACTTTTGTAGATCCTTTCTACAGGGCTTTTTTTATACCCATAATAATTTTGTTTGGAGGGAGAGACAAGTTAAAAATCTGTGGTCAGGTCACTACTTTACATTGAAATATTTGTATTCACTATACCCTCAGAACAGTGCTTTACTTATGGTAAGTGTTGCACAGGTATTTAATTAATCAAATAGAATACGGGATAGTTATTATGTGATAGCTATATTACATAATCACAGAATGAAATATTACCAGTCATTATATGGTTAGTTTGACTGACAGCAGAGGAGATAATTTCAAATGTGGAATGTTTGCTTCAGATGGAATTTCATTTATGTGTACTAACTTATCACAATTGACCACATGTCATCAGTATCAAATGATTTGACACGGATATCCCAATTCATCAGTCACTCATGATTCATTAAAATGGGTAATGTTAAAAATAATAGAGATGGTAAAAATTTTCACTTAAGATATATTTATCAATTTTTGGAATATTAAGAAGTGATTGAATTATAATTTACATTTCTATCTCTAGGAAAGCCTGAAGGTAGAAATATAAATTTGATCATAGTGGTAGAAGAGAGGAATGTGGAGTTTCAATAGCAGTAGAATAGTGCAGTGAATGGGCATGGCGAAGTATAAACTGTCAGACGTTAAAAATTCAGCTGACTGCACATTTATTGCCTAAGAATACCACAAGTTTAACATCTGTGACTGTGGTTTCGAATTATAAATACCATACTTATGACCAAAGGGAAAATGCAATTTTGCTTAATTTCTTAATTTTGCTTGATTTATTTAAAAGTTCTTTTCTTTTTCAAGTCACATCAATCTAAGACACCTATAGGTAACTTTTTAAAATCTTAAGCAAAGTTTATTCTTTAAAATTAAGTTGTGTTTTTTAACAGGTTGCCAAAATTTCAACTTTCCTTTCAGTTGAGTTTCTATATTTTGTAATTTCCACTTTAGCAAATATACATAGTTTTAATTTGTTCTCAAAGTGTTGCAAATGGTTTATTTTCCTTAAATAAATAAATTGTAGGTGTGTTCATACAAAGAGGTCATCAACATCCCTCATAAAAAGAGAAGGAGGCTCATTCACAAAGAAAAAACATATATGATTAGAGGACAGTACCTGTCTTGGTTCCTCCAAAATATTTCTTTCTATTTTGACAAGAATCACCTAAAGAAGAGGAGAGAAAATTAATATCTTTACATTATTTAAATGCAGTTAGTGAAGGCCAATAGCTACTTTAGCTTTCTTTACTTTTGTTTTATGACAGTGATCATTTGAATTCTGATTCAACTTTGTTTAAAATTCAACTTGACATAGATTCTGAGGATAGGGAGGCAAGCCAGATTGTGATAGTCATCAACATAGCTAGAGCATTAAGAGATGTTTCTGGGGGAAATGTATTCTTAATAAATTTCTGATTTTAAAAATTTTGAGTTTCAACAAATTTATTAAATTCAATTATAGTAAAACCTTGGACTGCGAGAGACTTGTTCTATGAGTGTTCCACAAGATGAGCAAGCATTTTTAATAAATTTTAACTTGATAAAAGAGCAATGTCTTGCAATACGAGTAGTATGTGAGGCCAAATGTCACACAATCACAACTGAACCAATGGTTCTTGAAATTCACTTTAATATACAAGAGCTTTGGATTATAAGCATATTTCTGGAACAAATTATGCTTGCAAACCAAGGTTTTACTACTGTAGTCACTAGAGACCTAAAGTAGAAATACTGAAAAAGACATCAAATATCCACCCTTTTATTTTGATGTTATTAATTTTTTAAAAATATTTTTATTTATTTCTAGGAGAGAGAGAGAGACTGCGTGAGCAGGGGAGGGTCAGAGAGAGAGGGAGATACAGACTCTGAAATAGGCTCCAGGCTCTGAGCTGGCAGTCAGGCCCAACGCGGGGCTCGAACCCACGAACCACGAGATCATGACCTAAGTGAAAGTCGGACGCTTAACCGACTGAGCCACCCAGGTGCCCCTATGTTATTAATTTTTTAAGTTTACTTATTTATTGTGAGGGAGAAAGAGCATGAATGAGGTATGGACTAGAGAGAGAGAGAGAGAGAGAGGGAGAGAGAGAATTCCAAGTAGGATCCACAATCACAGTGCATAGCCCAATGCAAGACTTGAACTCACAAACCATGATATCATGACCTGAACCAAGATCAAGAGTTGGATGCTCAACCTATTGAGCCACCCAGGCTCCCTACCCTGCTTTTTAAAATATGCTTTTGCTTGTACACCTCCTGATCTTTAGTTCTGGGTAATATTTTGACAATAAAGCTATTTTTTTATTTTTTTTTTCAAATTCCTGAGGTAATAATGAGCAAAAATGTTTACATATAAGTCAACTCAGGAAAAATGAAATGTTTACAGGCTACCTATTTCCCCATACACTGGCAAACACATTTTGTATTAAAGTAGGTTGAATTGTCTATTGCTTACCGGATACTCTTTAATAGCTGATAATAGATAAGAAATAGATATATAAAAATGTATGTTGATTATTTATCCCTTAACTCTGTAAAGCAGTCTAGAATTTCCTTGATGTGTTTACCTATAGTGCATTTATGTACCTTAGACAAAACACTCAGAGAAATGCATTTATATCACTTTTCCACTTTGAGGGAGAAAGTTGACTCAGAGATCTAAAGAATTCACTGACAGTGTTACCAAGATCATTTGAAATAAGATAATTTGATCATATCCAATGGGACTTTTGTGCCAACACATGCCAGGCACAAGAAGTCCCGGGACACAAGCCTAGTCATGTGCTTTCTTACCTGTGACTGTAGACTCTCCTCTCTCCTAAGCCAGATACATCAGAGTGAGTTGAGCCATAAAAGAAATTTCATGACTGACAATTTTCTTATGTTCTAAGGAGTGATTGCTGTTCAGAGTCGATTGGTGACCAGGAATATTGCTTGGTGGTTTCTAGGTGACTGAGGCCAGACATCTGGGCCTCCAAGACTCTTCTGGAAAAATTCTGACTTTACAATGAATATCTTTTGAAGCACATTGTTTATATCTGATAAGATTGGTCATTCTGTGGATGATTGATTAGGGATGATAAATTCTGATTTTATTTAATTGTTCAAGCGTACTGTGAGAGTATGTGTTTCATAATAACTTAGACCTCAATTTTGTAAGTGATTCTTATTTTATTGTAAGCCTTTTCATATTAAGCGATTAAATACAGAAATAGGATCATTCATTTATAGCTCAGTGATGCGCTGAAAGGTAGATAGATTCATTCTAAAAAAGTCTATATTGGAGTCTTGGCCTTTCAGCTTCTTGGTTTTTGATCTTGGGGAATTTGACAATCAACACTGAGCCTGTTTTTTGTTTTTTGTCATCCAGAAAATGGGTATAATAATCCATAATTTAGTGTTGTTGTCAGAATTAAATGAAGAGGATTTCTGTTATGATACCAGAAATATGGCATTTAATAATTGTGTATATATATATTTTTTCATTGAATAGCAGAAAAAATTAGGTGAAAAATGAAAGAAAATCAGCTACTCAGAATACTGGGTAGAAAAACAATGTCTTGCCTATGGTAAATTGAATAAAAATTTGTTGTCTGAACTGTTGTCTAAAATTCTTTGGAATGGAAAACAAACAGCCCAAGAATCTTGAAAGTCTGTGTCATGCTTTTGTCATCAGTCTTGTCCTTTTCACTCGTGTCATGGGTTCCTTTCTTTGTCTATGCCTTGAGAAATGACTCCATGAAATCCACACAAAAGCTGGCTGAACGGTGTTTCCATTATAAGAAATGTGTACAGGATGTGTGGATGGCTCAGTCAGTTAAGTGCCTGAGTTCAGCTCAGGTCCTGATCTCATAGTTTGTGAGTTTGAGCCCTGTGTCAGCCTATGTTCTGACAGCTCAGAGCCTGAAGTCTCCTTCGGATTCTGTGTCTCCCTCTCTCTGTGCCTCTCTCACTCGTGCTTACTCTCTCTCTGTCTCAAAAATAAGCACTTAAAAAAATTAAAAAGAAATATTTATGAAATATTTAGACAAGTGCTGAGTACAAATATCATAACCACACTTTACAGATACATCCATATGTCTAAACAAAAAAGCAATTTAAATTTCTAGAATAAAAGTACAAATTATATATCTACTATTAAATCATGTGTAATATGGAAGCTCAACTGAAATTTCAAGCCAAAAATCTGAACCAAAATCAGCTTTATATTAACGGGGTTTGGTCTTCAAAATGTATTTTAGTAAGAGCAGTTTCTCTGAGAGAAAAACAAAATGTCTGTTTACATTTGAATACTTATTTGCTTCTTTATTTTATACCAACACGTTACAACTTGTGAATTCTCGAAATGTTATTTTACTGACTTTGGTAAAGTGTTGAAATAACTAGGGTCTTCAGTATTTGAAATGAAAATGATTATTCAGAGTATGCTGATTATTGGTTATTAGAATTTAGAAAGAAAATCAAGACAAAGCAAGTTGCTAAGGAAATAAAGGGTTTACTTTCTCCATGAGCCTGTAATCACATTGATTTTTCTGTGTGTTTACCAGAATGTTCTCATATTTAGTTGGGAAATAGTCTATCTGTTTATTTTAATAATGATGGTGTCTCTAGGAATGATTTGTAAGCATAGGTAATAAACGTACCACTGCCTTTATGCTGCCGACCATAAAAATACAACTGAATACTAAACATTCTACCTAGTTGGGTTTTCCCTAAAGGCCATTGAAGGGGACCTTCAAATGTTTCCATTAAAAAACTCTTGGTGAATTTTCCCCAGGTTCTAACAAGCTATATCAAAATAAAACTCATTTCATGGAAAAAAGGAATCCCACAGCACTTCTTTTTAATAACTGTTCAGCTACAAAATTTTATTGGTATCCTTTTATGTTCCCTCTAGAGGATGTAATGCACAAAAGCATTGCCACGGAACATATAAAATTACAAATGAAATTTATTGTAAAAAGTAGAATGTCTTCTAGACTGGTGTCAGTATTTATTTCATTCATAAACCAAAACTGCAATATAATATATTCATTGTCAGCAAGTTCATGTGTGTAAATTGCCATCCAATGTTATTGACTGATATAAGACAGATATTGAAAAGACAATTTAAATGTACTCTTCCAAACATAAACTGTTCCACAAAAGCACTGTAAAAACTCCTTCAAGATTTTGGGTTGTGCTTGACATTTATGGTTAACTACATAATTTGGTCGTGTCATAATCCACTGTGTTTGGCAATTTGGCATTAAACGCCTGCAGAGCAGATTGGATCCTCACCACCTCACTAGTAGACAGCTTGAGTCTATGACGAAGCAAGCAAGAGAAAAGATCTAGACGACGCTGACCAGGTGGGGAGAGTTTATTTACACGGTCTCTTATCTCTAGAAGTTGCAAAAGTGCTGAGTCCTGGGATCCCTGAGTATAGGGGTAGTCCAGCTGCAAAATCAAGTCCCGAATTGCTTCAGGGTCAAAGTGCATGCTGTAACCAAACACTTGAATGTTATTGATTTTCATGTAACCCAGGTTCCGGGAAGGGTCAATGAATTCCAGAGGTTCATAGTAAATGCTCTCATTGCCATTGGGGCCGTTTGACTTGATGCGACTCCTCAGGTAGATGTGCACTGTCTCAAAAAATGTCTTCCATTTGTTCCCCAGAGTTAGCGACCAGTTGTAACACTGCAGTGGGAGGTCCAGCTTAGTCCGCTCCCAGTCTGGAAAGCTGTTTTCATTTACAGGCATAAACCAGCTCTCGGAATGGCTGCCTCCGAAGGGATTGACATAAACAGCCAACACTGGCTCCAAGGTGCTGTTTTTAGTTAAGCAAATCTGTAAAGAGAGACCCAAGATCATATGGACCAGACTGGACTTGTACTTGTTGCTCTTCAAGGTGAGGAGCATCCGCTTGCGCCAGGAGGGGTCAAACCAACTATTGAGACGCATGTCATTGCTGATAAAAATGGCATGGACTTCGATTCGTCTGTCCGTTTTCTGCAACAGGTATTTCATCTCCAGGTCCTGCAGGTCGGTCTCAAAGCCAATATAGTGATCGGTGGACTCGGCGACCTCAGGCTTGCAGAGCCCCTGGCTCAGCATGTAGCCTGTGTTGCAGGTGCCGCAGCGGGTACGGTTGTCTGGGGCGCACGTCAGGCAGGCCGAGGCATCGCCCACGGTGCAGGGCAGGAACGCAGTGCACACCACCTGGTCGTTTGGACAGGTGCACGAGTGCGTCTCTTCCGAAAAGCTGCCCAGGAGGCCGTTCTCGTTGCAATAGAGAAAAGACTGGATGCGAGTGAGCCAGTAGGTGGAGGTTCTAGGAACACAAAACAACACGGATCTATATAAATACAAAGACATTTTCTGTGTTACAGCCAAGGAAGTTACCCTTAGCTCTGAAAGCTTCACTATCGTTTCTTCAGGTTATTGCCGGTTATTTAACTGAGATAAAAAATCTATACAGCTTATAACTGAAAACAGATACATTTTTATATAACATTTATATATGTTATATGTTTATATTGTATAATTGTTTTCATTCTTCACTGCACAAGATTAGATCTAGAATACTGCACGAATACCTTCCAATGACATTGCCTGTCATTTCACTAGGGTACTCAGAGGGTGACTGTGAACATAATTGGTCAGTTATTGTTTTGAAATGCTATCCAACAACAGGAAATAAAAGTGATATTATCGTAAAATATCTAGAGTAGAATTAGAGCATGTACATGAACTGTTTATTCATTCACTCTTAGCTTCATAAAGCACTGATGTGGTAAGAAGCTAAATAGAACGTAAAATAAAAATGAAAGAAAAATAAACAACTCTAAAATGTCAATCAATGTATTTAAATCCCAGGGTGTTATCAACATTGACAGAACAAGTACCCACTGAGAGGGAAAATATTATTAAAACATGTTTGACTTCATTCTTACAGGCTGCTCAACAAAACTGTTGGAAATATCTCGTTAAAACCAACTACAAGTTGTTTTAATAAGGGTTAAGTGTGTTAGTTTATGTGTTTGATTTGAATCATTAACATTTTTCTTATTTATACCCAGAAATTACCAGAAATTAGACCAATCTTGATGCAAATTAAGACTTTGCTTTTCGTGTTTCCCACATTATTCAAACTCTTTTGGTGTGTTTAAAATCTCAGTAAAATAATGAAGGGAAATGTGTGGCCCCGTCGTCAGGTAATTCTTTGTTTTTATCATGTTGCTATCTCACACTAGCTGTACGATCAGGGGAAAGTTGAAGGATGTCTCTAACCTGCCGCTTTCTCACATGAAGAATGGGAATAGTAATGTCTCCCATATTGCGTTCTTGGGAGAAACAGGCTCAGACTGTATGCATGTGTTTAGAATATTGTAGAGTGTGTCTTTTTTAAATATTCTTATGCTTTTCTGGTGTTCATTATTTAGTACCTATGAGGTTTTCAGTGAAATCTATCCATGACACCCAATCCTTTACACCTGTATGCTGCTGCTGTTTCAAAGGATTTGTATATGGAGAAAATTGGGAAAGCGTGGTTATTAATCTGTGCAATTAATCAATAAAAACAATGTATTAAGGTATTCAGAACAATATTTGAGCTATTTATATTACATGTTCATTTTTGGTCTCTCCCACCTCCTCTTGCTATGCAATACTTATATTTTAAGTGAGTGTTTCCTTGTTTTCCCAAATAAATGAAATGAATCCTTTCTTCCCTCTGATAACATTTACTTATTTTCTTCGTGGTACCTTTTTTCACATAAAATTTTATATTTCTCATACCTACTTGTCTGTACTCCATTTATTTTGTTAAATATAATATCTGGCTTGCCAGAACTGTGTAAACTTATTTATCAGTATACATCCCAGTACCAAGTAGCACAGCAGAGATCATAGCCCATTAACGTTCACTGAATCTTTAGTTAAATGAATAGATGAATTAAAAGGCATTTTCTTCATAAGTGTAGTTTTGAGTGAAACTTACAGCCCTAAAAAGAATATTTAATTCAATTGTAAAGCCCCAGCTTTCAAGTCACAGGAAGTGAAGTAACACAACACATACTTTGACATTTGCACAATTAAACATATGAAAAGCCTTTCTTTTCCCCTTCCCTAAATGAAAATGTTTGCTATAGACCAAGAAGAAAAGAAAAAAAAAATTAAACCAAATCCAACCAAAGCATAACACATTTTCCTCTTATTTCTTACACTGAAAAACACTGACTAGAAACCTGAATGTAATAAATTCATTTCTAACTTTCTCTAGATAATTTAAAAGTAAGTTCTCACGAAAAATCTCCCAGCTCTACACCCAAGAGTTGTGAAATAGCGGTGATGTGAGGCTCTTTGGCCCTTCATGAGTCACACATCTATATATGAAGATCTCTCCTCCTGTAGCTCTGCTTCTTGTTTTCTCCCCGCAGAAGAAATGTGCAAAAAGCCTTGTTTTGTGGTTTGTGAAGTCACTCAATTTTCTGTATTTGGTCTAGGTATATAGAAATTATTACTAATTTTTAGTATGTAGTTACTGATACATTTATATCATCAGTTTTCTTTTTCACAGGCCATTAATGTCTCTCCCTCTTGACGTCTCTCTATCTCTTTCTTCTCTCCCTTTTTCTTTCTCCCTCCTTCCTCTCTCTGTCTCTCTCTTTCTCTCTCCTCTTTCTTCCTTCCTTCCTTCTTTCTATGTTTCCTTTTCTCTTCCTCCTTCCTTTCTCTCTGTCTCCTGTAACTCTACTTTTTCTAATATAAAGAATATAAAATATATATTCTATCTGGATTGAAAATTATATTTTCCTCCCTGAAAGCAAAGCTTAAATTCCCTGAGCCAATTCATCTTTCACTGTAAGCTCTAATCATGTTTCCAAATCATAAGGACAAACAAAAAAATGAAATAAATAGACCTAAGGCTAAAGACAGAGCTCACAAAACTAGGGCACTATCGAAAGAAGCATTTGAACACTTTAGAAAAGCAATGGCTTTTCCAGCTTTCAATCTCTCCCAATCCTTTTCAGGTCCCCACAGATGCATTACTGAAGGAATGTGTTTCGGCTTCGCAGGCTTCAGCTTGTCATGTATGAATATTGATAACTTGGCTTGCTGTCAAAGCTTCTGTACCCTGGGACGGAGAGCTACTGTGTGGATTTTCTTCTTTTCTGCTTCTTGTCCTTTCTCCTCTACTATCTACCTTTTGACTAGTTTACTGCATTTCACAAATAGGGAATAGGTTTTTAAAGGAAAAAATAAATTCAATAATCAGTCTTTTCGTTTGCCTTGCAAAATCTAGGCTAAAGAAGGAGTTGAATAAAAAGGAGAGTACTGGATTTTTCACTTACCCAAATAACCATGTAGCTTTATTTTTTCCAACAAAGTATAATTTAACTACTTTTTCTTTATTTTAAACCGTTTTAAGTAAGTTTAATAGTTAAATAAATTTATAAATTAATGTAAAATAAATAAAAATCAAAAGTAGGCTGTATAGAGTATGTTTTTTAAACACTGCTTCCTTTTATAGCTAAATGTTTAAGGAAAATAGTACCACATTCTTTTCAGTCTGATATAAAGCTTTTGTTCACACAAGCTATCTGGTGTCACCTAGGGCTAAGAATAGAGGATGCAATGTCCAAAGATGGGCTACTGGCAGGCAGATTTTTTGCTGCTCTTTGTCATGCATGTGACGTTGTGCATGACATCTACCTAATTATACTTCAATAAATATTTACTAAATACAGGAAGTAAGAAATGAAAGGAGAAAGGAGGGAGTAGAGTAAGGAGGGAGGGCAAAACAGAAATTAAAGTGAAAGAACTATAGATTATGGAGAAACAGAAGACAGAAATAGAAGACAGCCTTGGGGCACCTGGGTGCTTCAGTCAGTTAAGCCTCTGACTCTTGATTTCGGCTCAGGTCATGATCCCAGGGTCTTGAGATCAAGCCCACATAGGGCTCTCCACTGAGTGTCGAACCTTCTTAAGAGTCTCTCTTTCCCCCTCTCTCTCTCTCTCTCTCTGCCCCTGCCCCCCACTCACTTGCTCTCTTAAAAAAGAAAAACAGCATTAAAAAAAACATTGACATGTGATAACTACTATGATAGATAATATTTTAGGAAGGAGAGAAACTCCTTATCTATAAGGAACAGAGTTTGCATTTTGAAAATAATTTCTATAAAAGTTTTATGGGATAGTATTAAAAAGAGAAAAATGTCTTCCAGAGTTAAGTTAAACAGACAATTTAAGTTAAAATCTAAGCTAAAAAGCCTATAGTGTGTTTATATTTGAGAAATCCCATGGTGCCATATTTGAGAACTTCAGATGACTGTTTACCCAGTTGTCTCGGCTTGACACGTAATGATCTCGGTGTGTTTCAGGTATGCTCTTTTCCATGGGATACATGTTATCTGAGACTGGAAGATGGATACCTCATTTTGGGGCCAGACTTTACCTGGTGACCTGGGATAGGTCACTTAGTCTCCTTAATCTTAAGCAGAAGCTCTAAGAAACATTGGTTCAAAGTTTGGTTCTGTGTGACCCTGGGGAATGCAGATAACTGTCTAAACCTTCATGTGTTTGTGTGTGACCGCACTTGCCAGCCGTTCACCAGGGTGAAATGATGTAACATATAAACCCCATCATCACTGTTTCACATACAGTAGCTGCTCTTAATGAAACAATATGAATGAAATGCTTATCTCTTTTGAATATCAAGTGACTGGCAAAACAGACTCCTGGGCTTCACTCCAGAGAAACTATAAGAATTTCTAGGAGCAGGGCCCAGGTATATGCAATCCCAGAGGACATTATGTGTGTGTGTACACATAGGCTATAAGAAAATTAACAGCTCAGATAGCTACAAGGGCCTCCTTAAGTACCAGCTAGCCATCAGCATGTAAGAATATGTCCAAAGTCTCAGTCGGTCGAGTGTCCAACTTCCACTCAGCTCATGCTTTTGTGGTTCGTGAGTTCGAGCCCTACATGGGGCCCGCTGCTGTCAACCTGTTAATGCAGAGCCTGCTTTGGATCCTCTGGCCCCTCTTTCTGCTCCTTCCTCACTTGCACTCTCCCCAAAATAAATAAATAAATATTACATAATATGTCCAGAAAAGGTAGAGAGAAGTTAAGATTTCTGTGGAGGAGAGTCAGCAGGAGACAGCTTCAGATTTACATGTGTGTGGGATTTGTGGCCACCATGTACGCTAAAATTTGTAAACCCTATGCCAGAAAAATTTTCCATATGCATACCTGAAAACAAAACAAACACAAAAGCCTGCCTTAATAAATGAATTCTACTATGTTGCAGTAATATTCATTATTTAGTGA